GCTCTAGAGACATATGGAAACCTCTCTTTTTCATAAAAGCCTCAATGAATATTAAGCCCGAATGATGCCATTCATTGCAGAAGTAAGATGTTGTGATAATTCCCCAAACAGACCTAATTAGGCCATATAGCTACTCGAGTTTCAGAAAGTAATAGGTGGAAAATTACTATGTGATTGGGATTTCATTAGCAGTTTTTCTTAATCTGAAATTCATCCTACCCCAAAGGAATCACCTATTCGGCTTGCTTTCTTTAGCATTCTATTATGTTGTCAGCATCATTTTATAATCAAAGAGTTATGCTTGATTTCATATGAACTCTTCAGTTTTGTCTGAGTAGGAAGCATAAGGAGTTTCACAGAGATAGGGTGTTTTATCAGGTTCTGGAGCAATTCAATGTGTTCTCTGATTAATTCTGTTTGAAAGTCCCTGTAGCTGTTTAATTAGGAAAAAAAGTCAATACTTAAGGTTTTTCAGGAAATGATTATCCATATTATATGGGAAGCTAAATGAATTTGGCTCAAAATACAAAGGAAATTTTCTCTTCAATAGTGTGGCCATCCAATAATCTTTGGTAGCCCAATAAGTCATTGCCATCTCAGCAAGGACTGAAACTTTGCACTCCTTAGAAAGAGAGAAGCACTGATCACTGAGTCATAAGGGTGAACTTAATGTTGTTTAGAACAAGGAACTAGGTATCTTGAGCTCCTTTCCCAGCATTGCACCCTGCATGGGACCTGAAAGGCCTCTGTGGCTATAATAAATCTTGATTTACTACCCCCTTGTTTGGGTGGCCATAGATGCAAGAACCTAAAGGATTTTTATTGATGGAAAGAGGTTATCTGAGATGTATCCTGTTTGCAAAGGCACGATAAAGTTGCATCTTATAGATTATAGGCAATAAACAATAAACTCAACACACACCATACTCGTTCTCTGTTCATTTGATTTTGGAAAAAGTTGAGCATATCTAGTAGTTTCAGGGATTTCATTTAACTAAAAAATTCTGATATATTTAATTTATAAATTTTGGACTGATATAATGAGAGTTTTGGAAAACTATAAGAAATGCTTTGTTGATGTGTGTATTTCTATGTAAAACACATGGCTTCTCCTGTGTATATTTTTAAAAATTAAAGAAATGCACATTAAAAAAAGAAAGAGATTATCTGATCCAGCCCCCTCAGATGAGGAAACTGAGGCACAGAAAGGTCATTGTGTTTGTTTAAGATTACAGAGCAAGGTCACACAATGCTTCGTTCTGTAATTTTTCTATTACAAAGTCCCAGGACAGACTTGTCAGAGCCTAATAGAGAAATTAGAGGTGGCCAAATTGTTTGACTTGACCTTTAACCTTAGCTGGTTGCTGAGGTAGAATAGAAAAAGTACCGCATGTCCAAGTGCCTATGCCAATTCTGGCTTTGGTCCAACCATCTCTCATCAAGGAGACCATATTTCCTTCTTAGTTAAAATGTCAATCCATTTGATTAAAAGAATGACAAGTCACAATTGTTCTGGATTCAGGTCTGTGATTTCTCCAGAAATTCCAACTAACCAACAACTTAGTAGTACTTGATACAAATATCACTGTGCATTTCACTAAAACACAGGTGATAGTGTTCAATCTTGTCTCCTTCTTGTTTTCTCTATTTCTAACAGAATCATGCACTCAGGGTGAAACTGACCTCACACCCAGTTCCAGTGGTTTAATACAGTTGACCGAGACTACTCTCTTGGGCCCTTGATTAGTTTAGGGAAAGGCACTCAAAGAACTCAGTTTCAGGGCATTTATTTGAACTCTTGGGGAAGAAGGTCCTCTGTGTTCTTCTTTGCTTGAATCTGGAAGCACAAAGCCCAGGAATTTCAGGAAGATATTTTGCAACCACATAGGGCTTGCCTATTGAAACTATGAAAACCATTAAGAAACTGCAATAGAGAAACCAGGTACCAGGCATATCATCTGAACTACAGGATTAAGTGTCACCTGTTATTGGCCTATATCTGATTCTTTCAATATGAGAATAAGCATTTTATTATTTAAGTCATAAAGTAGTTTTTTGTTTATTACTATAAGCATCCCAATATCTGTGATGATGCTGATTATGAGTTTCCATACATCTGAACTTCACTACTGGATCAAAGTCCATTTTAAAGTTGGCCCCCAAAGACTATATCAGGCTGGAAATACAGCTAAGTGGTAGAGCACTTACCAGAATGTGTGAAGTCTTGGGTTCAATCCCCATGTACCAAGAAGAAGAAGAAGGAAGAGGAGGAGGAAATGACTTCTTTAATAATTCAAGTTTACAAGAAGCTCTGCCTAAAATGCATGGTACTTACTTACATTACTTACATATGCCTCATTTGACACAAAATTTGGTAAAATAGCAATGTTTGGGTTAATAAAAGGAATGAAATTTCCTACATTTTATGTCAGAAACTTTATTACCAGAAAAAGAAACAATGAGGCTTTAGAATTTTAGAAAAACCTTTAGAATAAGCTTTTCTTTTATTTTTATTCTAATTTGTTATATATGACAGCAGAAACATTACAATTCATATTACACATATAGAGCAAATTTTTAATATCTCTGGTTGTAAATAAAGTGTATTCACACCATTCGTGTCTTCATACATGGACTTAGGGAAACGATGTCCATCTCATTCCACCATCTTTTTACAACTCTTGCCCCCTCCCTTCCCCTCCCTCCCGTTTGCTGTAGCTAGAGTTCATCTAATCTTCACATGCGTCCCCTCCCAACCCCACTGTGAATCAGCCTCCTTATATTAGAGAAAACATTCGGCATTTGGTTTTTTGGGATTGGCTAACTTCACTTAGCATTATATTCTTCAACTCCATCCATTTACCTGCAAATGTCATGATTTTATTCTCTTTTATTGCTGAGTAATATTTCATTGTGTATAAATACCACATTTTCTTTATCCATTCATCTACTGATAGGCATCTAGGTTGGTTCCACAATTTAGCTATTGTGAATTGTGCTGCAATAAACATTGATGTGGCTGTGTCCCTGTAGTATGCTGTTTTTAAGTCCTTTGGGTATAGACCAAGGAGTGGGATAGCTGGATCAAATGGTGGTTCCTAGAATGGATTTTTTTCTAAGCCAACCTTCAGTAAAGTAGAATATTGAAGCCTATGCTCTAGGTATGATAAGCTGTATCTCTTCTGTGGGCTGGACCCTATAAAACATGTATGTAGTCAGCAGAATAATTGCAACTTGGGTGATTTCTTTTTTATTTGAGGCAATTAAGATCCACTCCTAACTCCCAAGAAAAATGTTTTGCCCTCATCTGGCCATTGGTCTTGTCTCTTGCCCATATTCTAGGGGCCTAAAACAAAGATGGCCTCCCTTTCAATCATGTTCCTTAACTCAGGACTGACGGATGAATAATGTCCTCCCATCTCATCTACACCATGCTGACTTTGTTATAAGAAGCAGGGTCTGTAAAGACTTGTCAAGCAGATAATATACTTTCATGCAGCATTTTAAAAATAGTATCTCATTTTTTATTTAACTTTTGCATCCATGACCATATGCAAAAATATGTAAAAATCAGTTTCGAATAAGCATGTGATCAGAGTGGAAGCCTGGCCTACCAGAATGGATGTCCAAATAATCAAAATGAAGATTCAACCAATCAGGATGGGTGCCTCAGCAATCTGAATTAAAAGTCAATCTGTCAGGGGGCTAGGGTGGTAACTCAATGGTAGAGCACTTGCCTAGCAAGTGTGAGGCCCTGGGTTTGATCCTTAGCTCCACATAAAAATAAATAAATAAAGGTATTGTGTCCATCTGTAAGTAAAGAAAATTTTTAAAAAGTCAACAAATCAGAATGGACACTTGATCTATTGTAATAAATGCAGTGTGTATCGTCCAAATATCTGCCTCTCATTTATCATTGAACTTTTCACTTACCTGCTCTCTTCTCAATTAGCTGGGAGCAAATATAGGGCAGGGACCACATGGTAGATCTCTTTGTATCCTCCAGGGGGCCTTGCTGAGCTGATTTCATAATATAAGCTTAATGAATATTTGTTTGAGTGGACATTATTCATCCAATGATTGCTCAGAAAATCAGTGGGTGGAAGAGGACAGTTTGTCCTTCTCTGATGACGATAATTATAGAATTATGCCATAAGAATATCACCAAAAAATAGCATGTTTTTAGATGACACACAGGTGATAAAAGAAATTGGTATTTTTAAGGGCTTATCATTCAATGTGATCTTGACAAACTAGAAACACAATATATAATCACACTTATTTATTAAACACAACAATGAATAGTGTGCTTACAGAATTAATAACATATAAATACAAGGTGGAGTATAAACAGAAAGGTCTTGGCAAGGCCCAAAGTAAATAGATCTTATGGCAAATAATAAACCAGAATATCCTAAATGTTTTAAAATCAGCTAGATTGCTAGCATTATGGTTAGATATTTATTTATTAATTCAACTGAGTACCTACTATGTATAAAGCATCCTGCTAGGCATGCTGGAGATGCAGTAAGAATTTAGCAACTTCTCTTTCCTCAAAGGGCTCAAGTTTTAAGAGAAAAGACAAAGAAGTAAACAAACTATTCAATAATAAAAGATAACTATTTGATAGTTGAGTCATCAGTCAGTGAAGATAAGTATCAGGAAGGACATTTTTGCAGCATTTGAGAGAGATAACTGTGCTCAACAGATGGAAGAGGTCCAGCACTCAAGAGTGGGTGGGCAGAAGTGTCAACACTGATGGTGCAAACTGATGGCCAGAGGTTGCTTTGCTTTTATTTTTTCAGGACCAGGTAAGCACCCATGCTCTACTACAACACTATTAAATGGAGGTAAAGTCCCAATGATGACTGATCCCTGTTTTTCCCACCCTTGACAAGTGTGTGTGTGTGTGTGTGTGTGTGTGTGTGTGTATGTGTGTGTGTGTGAAATCTCACCAACATTTAATTTCACTTAAGCAATAAAGGAGACATTTCTAGCACTCAAGTGTAATAAAGAAATTTAATTTAGACAAGTTTAAAAATTCTTAAAAATAATTTAGAAAACTTGCATAGAGAACACATACACCCTTAAGAATATGTTTGTAGATTCTCAGGTGTCTTTACTCCCAAGATGAATAACTACTGTAGGAGGTAAATATCACCTTTGGAATCATACAACATTGCAGTCTTGCTTGCTATCAGGAGGAAAGTCAGCATGAGGATGAAGTAGGTATAGAGGAGGGCAGGAACAAGAGAATACAGAACAATGAACTAAAGCTCTGATCAAAACCAGTGTAAAGCTCACATAAGACTTCATACCAGACAGACCTCCTTACAGCCCCATCATCCCTTCTCATTAGAAAGATCACAAGAAAGAATTCAGTTTGATCCAGCCAAAGCGAGATGCTAACCTCTGTGGCTAGAAGAGTGAAGTACCATGTTTTACAGTTACCTGTGGGTTAAGAGTAGTTTCCTAAAATCAAGAATGCTGGTCTAACAAAATCCACACTTGGATACCAGATTTATGTAGTTAAGCTGTCATGCAGAATGGTAACTCTACATTTGCTTTAATAAGTATTTTCTTAGTCAAATTAAATGTCTGGTCTGCCTAATACTCTATAGTGATATAGCATTTATAGGTTGGGTTTGGGCAACTGGCAAAAAATATCAATGTGTTTTCCTCAGAGCATTGTAACATGGAGTTTTAGACAAGAGTCTGCTAATACCACTTGAAGAACAACAGCAATTAGGAACCGGTTACCTGTGAAACCCTCAGCTCTACAAATGTCTAAATCTTTGAGCAAGATGCCTTGAGCCTATAGTACTCAGTCACTACCACCAAGAATCTGGTCTCAGATATGTTATTGCACAAAATATGAAATGAATACTGCATAAAAGAAAAATATGATATTTCTTGAAATAGCATCAATAGATCAAAATGATGGAAGGGTTTAGCAGTGGTACACAAACTTACCAACTAGAAAGTCCCAATATTATATACATTTGGGACTAGAGAAAAGCTGAGGAAGTGAAAATAAGATAAAATTATTTTTTTAATTCCCATAAATATACAAAATTCCCCTAAGGAAATTTGGGGACTTTAAAATTCCCACTCTAGCTTCTCTAACTGAAGTTCTTTACATATCAATGTGTTCTCATTCCTACAGAAAGAAAATGACAATAGTTGAATGCAGATGGTGGGACTGAAAAAGTTATTTTAATAAATATACACTTTTAAAAATAAGATTCCATTAATCTTTGAAGATTTTTTCCTTTCTTTTTTCAGGAAAGAGGATGAAGGAATAGAAAGAACTAAGCTGTCCACACTTGCTCTGACCTTGGCTGAAGCCTACTTGGAAGGTTTGCCTAAGGACTAGTTGGGGCAAAGAAGCTCAGTTTGTGCCAAAGAGCATAATAATCCTTCCTCATTAGGGAGCTCAATCCTTCCTCATTACTATGACTTTGACCTCATTAGAGTTTTGTTCTCATCAAGTGGGCTCCAGAAATTAGATATCCAGTTAATACCACCACCAGCAGCAGCAGCAGCAGCAGCAGCAGCTGATGCCCTCTGGGAACAGTATGATCAATAAGTGTAAGTGGTTGATTTTCATCTTCTATCCACATAGAAGATAAAGGCCAATATTAGTCCAATATTAAATTTTCTGTCACAATAGGATTAACATCAGTGGCATTGTACATGAAATCACAAGGTACTCAAGATGTGTCTTAGCAGAGCCTGTTGATTTGTTCAATTAATTACCCAATTATTTTTTCTTACTGCACTGATGGTTGAGTCCACTGGTTCCTTTAGTAACTTCTAATTTTCCAGGTATTTCCTTATATCTAAGGTAAATGTCTGGGTCAGTGGTTCTCTCATATTTTGGTTTCAGGACCCCTTTATTTTCTTAAAAAGTTTCTAGGATTCCAAAGAGTTTTTAATCATGTTTTTTTTTAACATATGGGTTTTAGCTGTTGGTATTTGACATATTAAGACATTAAAACTGAAAAGGGATAAGAGGAGGTTCTTGATGGAAATGGGGCTCCTGGTCTCCTAAGCTACTCCTCTACATCACAGGAACCAGTAAAGTCTCCTTTCATAGGAACTTGATCTGATTGGGTTTCTACCACTAGCAAATAAAAGAGTACTGAATAATACACCTACAAAATAATTAGTCTAAGACAATAAATAATAAAGGATTAAACTGAGTATAACAATGCTATTTTCTCCATTCATTGTCACTCTTTGAAAGCCTACTGAAGGATGCTGAATATAAACATCACTAACACTTCTACAGTGCCTAATGGTTTTCAAAGTGCTTTCACATTAGGTATGTAATTCTCACTACAACCCTATGTAATAGCTTGTTCTATATCCATTTTATAGATGAGAAAACCGAGGTTTACAGAAGAACCCCCAGTGACTTGTCAGAGTGGTTAAAGCGACTGAACCAAGACTAAAATCCAAAAATTAAAAAAAAATGTTGTAATTATTCATACATGAAAATAGAATGCATTTTGACATATTATACATATATGGAGTATAACTTCCCATTCTTCTGGGTGTACATGATATAGAATTACATTGGTCCTATAAATATCATATATGCACCTAGGAGATAGTACTGTCTGTAAAATCCAAATCTTATTCTTTAAATTCCCATAGCCAAAGTTCCTGCCTCCGATGATGCTTGTTATTTTATAGGGCACAAACTGTAGCACAGCCTTCCCAGATTTCTAAAATTTAAGTCCATCCTCCCGCAGAAAGATGGGGGCAGTCTGCGTAGCAGATCCTCTAAAACAGTCATCACTTTTGGCCATGGTTTCCGCGGCATGAATAGAGTTCAAGTTAGCATGGTTATCATTGTTTTCCAGCTGTGACTGAGGGACTGCGGGAGGGTGCTTAAGCAGTGGTGCTGGTCAGGAATTTAAGAAGACGGATAATACTTTGCAAGCTGCGCCACAGTCACTCTAAGAAAGCATCCTGGCTCCGGGGTCCCAGTGGAAGAAATGCGGGAGCTGCGGGACTCGGATTCCTAAGTCCTGGATTTGGAAGGCAAACAAAGAAACAACCAAGTTAAGTTCCGACGGCGCGATAAGCAGAGTTCAAAATGAATCCTCCCTTCCCTGCTAGGGTGGAAATGCCTAGTCCACAGATCACACCACCCAGAACAGATCGTCTGCTGTGGCGGTCCGGACTGTCCGCGCCGGGCACGCCCGAGGTTTCCCAAAGGCACTACCAGTCCCATGAAGCCCCGGGACGCGGGCGGTGATGACGAAGACTCCACGGATTGGCCACGGGGCGGGGCGCGCAGTCCTTCTGGGGGTGGGTGGGGCGGGGTGCAGGGCGGAGCGAGCGGCAGCTCGGCGGGCACGCCCCCTAGCCGCGGCCCCCTCCCGGCCTCTCCCCACCGCCTTCTCTCGCTCTCGGGTCAGAGGGCCGGAGCGAGAAGATGGCGAAGACGTACGATTATCTGTTCAAGCTGCTGCTGATCGGCGACTCGGGCGTGGGCAAGACCTGCCTTCTGTTCCGCTTCTCCGAGGACGCCTTCAACACTACGTTCATCTCCACCATCGGTGAGGGAGGGGCCGCGGCCCGGGACTGGGAGTGAGAAATGGGGGGCGGGTACTTGGGGGCCTGGGAGAGGGCGAGCGAGGGCTTGGAAGCCTAGGAGAGGAGACCTCAGGAACCGTAGGGAGGCGAGGGCTGTGAGTGAGGGCGAAGGCTTGAGGGAGAGGGGCGGGCGGGGACGTGAGGCGGGGGTGTGGAGGGGGCAAAGGAAGGGGAAACCGGAGAAACAAGGGCTGTTGGGGAAACGAGAGGGTTCAGGGGCTGATGTTGACAAGGAGGGATCCCAGAGGGACAAAGTGGGGGAACACAGGAAATCTCAGGGAGAGAGAAAAGAGATAGTATATATGAAAATGGATTAAAAGACAGCAAAGAGGAAGGAAACGTGAAGGGGGAAGAATGAGAGGGACGTGAAGTAAAGGAACAGAGGACACTAGGGACAAGAGAAGTGAGACCAGGCAGTTAATTGGAAGGGAACTGAGGGAAATGAATGATCAGGAGGTGAGAGATGAGGGGACATTGACCGTAAGAAATCCGGACGTAGATGCTGTGAGAGAGGGCAGAAGAAAATTGCAGGTGGGAGAAGGGTTCCGGGAACCAGTGGACGGCAGGCGAATACTTGGTGGAGAAAGTAAAGGAGAGCTGGGTGTGAGAAAAAGAAAAGGGGAAGCAACATATGTTGTAAAGAGGTTGATCAGAGAAGATGGAAAAGGGAGAGGAAATGGAAAGCAGTGGAGCATAGGACATTTCCCAATATCTGGGAGCATTGGTTATGATTTTCTCTTTACTTCTGTTGGATCAAGGAGAAAACAAAAACGACTAATGATAGAATAATGTCAATGGAGCATTAAATTGTTCTGAGTTTGTTAAAGTTGTTGGTGACTTTTATGAATGATGTGTTCAGGAAAATATGGTTCACCTCTTTGCTACCATCTCCTGAGGAATGGGACTTGAATATTTAACTTTTAAACCAAGGAACTGATCTAAAATTCTGCCTGCATGCCTGTGTATTTTGTTTTGGTTCTGATTATTACTTGTTAAATGAATCACAACATATGATATCCCCCCCCCAATTACTTCCAGTTGATTCAAGAGTTTTTTCTAATGTTGACTGGGAGCTGTCCTTCATCCATTTGTAGTGAAAGACATGTTGAGGTAACAAGATCTCTAACTTACTATAAACTGAAGAACAAATCAAAACTGGTTTAAGCTGAATGTGGAAATGACCTTAACATCATTTCCCTTAAATTAAGTAGAGTTAAGTAAGTACCTTAAGAATCTTAGCTTTTGGTTGCCTGTATGATGTGCCTGGCCTCTAATTGTAGTTTATTAACACATCTTTCATATTTCACCATGCATTTCTGGGTTGAGAAATAATAGAGAACTACTGCTTGGTAATAAATGTGTTTAAATATTTGTGAGTTTTAAGGATAATTCATCATTTCAAAAAAAGAATGCATGGGTATAGAGTACTTTTCAAGTATTGGAAAAGACTCATTTGTTATTCTGATTGCTTTCATACAGATTACATGGTCTAAAATCTCCTGAGTGTTATGATGTCTGGGCTTAGGGAAGTTTAAGTTGCAAGTTCTTGGCAGTCAGTCTTGAGTGGGACTTTTTCTTTTCTGAGGAAGCAGATTTTAAATGTCATCTCTCAAGTATATTCCTAAGAGATTTGGTAGGAGCTGGTACAGCAACAAAAGGCATTAATTTTGACATTGGTACTAATTTCAAAACTCCAAATAACTTTTTTTCACTGTTGAATGCATATTGCAATACAGTTGGTAAAGGACAATTTCTAACGAGTGGGTACCCTTTGCCCATTCTAGGTGGGACACTCCTAGAAATACCTTGCCTTGAAAGTGAGTAAGTCTCACTGATGATATTTCTGTTAAGTTCCTTGGATTTTTTTTTTTGCTTGTTCATAATAATTTCATTAGTTTTCTCCCCCTCCCCTTAATTTTTGACCCCCATTTCGTGTAAGGGCATCTGCTCCTTTTAAAATAGTAGCTTTTTAAAAAAATTTTTATTTTTGGGTACAGGCCTTGAACTTAGGTGCACTCGACTACTGAGCCACATCCCCAGTCCTAGTTTGTATTTAGAGAAAGGGTCTCATTGAGTTGCCTGGCACCTTGCTTTTTGCTGAGGCTGGCTTTGAACTCATGATCCTCCTGCCTCAGCCTCCCTAGTTTCTGGGATTACAGGCATGCGCCACCATACCAGCAAAATAGTAGCTTTTAACTCTTACTTTTTTGTGCTGGGGATGTTTAGCTCAGTGGTACAGCATATGATTAGCAGGCATGAGGGCCCTAGATTCAATCCTCAGCACCCAATAACCCAATATAATTATAAATATGTGTAAATATGTATGCATATATATTCTGAGGATTCAAATTTTTCTTGTGTGGCATATATATAATATAATATTATATTATATTATATATATATAATATATATGATTGAAATGAGCTTCTTTGGATGGTTGCAGCTATTAAGAAATGAAAACCAGCATCCTGTAGCAGTTTAGAATAGGAGGTAGACATTAAATGGGGTGAATCTCATCGGGGAGCTTGTTCTTTCTGTGTGGTGGATGTGGTAAACAGAAGCTGTGAGCTGTGTCTTCTTCAGTTGACCTGGAGGAGGAGGGGAAAATCCCATGCCTCTTATTTAGCCTCAGAGCTCCAACAGGAAGTGGTAGCACACCACCTTCAAACAGCAGGAGAATTTATGTACCTGAAACCTAATGCTTTGCCATTAAAATTAAGCTAGGAAAATAAGCTGAATGTTAACACAATTCTAGTGAAAAATTCCACTAGATTCATCACTGTGGTCTTCACCTCTTTAGAGGCAAAGTTACTTCCCCTAAGCCTTTACCCTATCTTTAAATGATCTGAAATGTTGAGGTGACAGTTGGTGGCCCATCTCCTCTCCAGTCATATTGTACCTACATGTGTAAATTTCTGGGGTTTTCTGTGAAAGGGTTTTGACAAAGGTCTGCTTTAGCATTACTGACATAACTTGATAAACTCTACATCACAGGAAATACTCATTTCTTAATACCTGGGGTTTGCGTGTGTGTTTTGGTAGATATGTACACATGTCTGTTTTCTTCCCATGAAGATACTTTTAAGTCTTAATTTTGCCTGTTCAAAGTTTGTGTAGTTTTTAAAAATGGGAGCCTGCCATCTTCAGACACTGTTGTGATAGGGGTTCTGTCATCAAAAGGAAGGAGACCATTATCATTTTGGTTCCAGATATAGTTGTCTTATAGATACTTTCTTCTTCTCCCTTCTCTTAAGTTCTTACCATTCTCTGTCTCTTTCTGTGCTTTTCATTTCCTTTCTGTGCTTTGTTGTGGTCAATGATTTCTTTTATCTGACTTGTTGGGGATCTTCCAGTATATATCATTCAGGTAATAGTTGTTAAACATGGAGTATGGGTTGTTTTATCCACTTGAAGAAATTATAGGCACAGTGTTCAAGACCAACTGACCTTTCAGTTCAGATATTTGAAAATTTAAAAAAATTCGTGATTGATTGGTTCCAAAAAATGTCCTTTATATAACCATTATTAACATTATTATATTGTAAAATATAACATTAAGACAATCAGGAATGGTAATACAATTAATCATATATGTCCTATGGGATGTGGCTGCCTTTTAATATTGATACAGATACATATTGATATCTTAAAATGACCCTATGTGAAACAAGATGCTGGTAGAACAAATAACTCAGCCCTGTCCTCTAACAGGACAACCTAAACTTCTTCCCTTTGCTGTCTCTCCCCTGCCCTACCCCCTTCTTCCTGTTAGGTATTTCCTGAGTGGTTTCATTATTTAGAGTAGTCATACTTTGACAGCAGAGTCTTAGAAATTATCTTCTTTGTGCCCCACCCTAATTTTATAAATGAGAAAATGAATGTTTAATTGATGTTCTCAAAATTACATAGCTGGTTGTAGCAAAGCCTTCAGTAAAACTCCAAATCTGAGTCTGTCACTTTTCACAATGAGCTGCTGTTATTTCTGATCTGTATGATCATCTCCATAAATTCAAGTCACCACCTTTTCCAGGAAGAATTAGATTTTGCACGCTTGCCTGTGTGAGGAAGTTAAGATGTTTCCACTTTTTTAAAAAAATTTTTTTTACATGTTGATGGATCATTATTTTATTTATTTATTTATTTATATGCGGTGCTGAGAATAGAACTCAGTACCTCACACATGCTAGGCAAGCACTCTACTACTGAGCCACAACCCTAGCCCAGATGTTTCCACTTTCATTAACCGTGTCTGCTTAGGGAAATAGTCAATGTCCATTAAATGGCTCTGATCCCTATAAGAGTTTATACTGGGGTAACTCAGCATTTGTAGCTGTTCTTTGCCCTTTCTTTCTATGTTTGTAGTTTCAGCTTAGGAAGATCAAAGTACGTTCTGCCATAAAAAATTTCTTCCGTGATCAAAATAACTAATGAAATAATTAATAGCCACATGTTGGTAATTGTTGCAGCTTAGTCTTGTTAGAACACTTTTAGACATTTTATCCTGTGACATTGCATATTTTTCTTGAGTTCCCTTTTCTTAAAATCAGGGTTAATACATAATAGCCCATGAGCCATATGTGGCCTGCAGCCTATTTCTGTGTAGTCCACAAGCTAAGAATAGTTTTTACTTTTTTTTTTTTTTTTCCAGTACTGGGGATTGAACCCAGGGATGCCTAACCACTGAGCCACTTTTAAATTTTTCCTCAGTCCCCGCCTCCTTTTAAAATATTTATATTTTAGTAGTAGTTGGACACAATACCTTTATTTTATTTGTTTATTTTTATGTGGTGCTGAGGATCGAACCCAGGGTCTTGCACATACTAGGCCAGCACTCTACCGCTGAGGCACAACTCCAGCCCTCCCCAGCCCTTTTTATTTTTTTATTTTGAGACAGGGTCTCGCTAAGTCCTTAGGGCCTTGACAAATTGCTGAGGTTGATCCTGAACTTGTGATCCTCCTGCCT